TGGCAGGTATGCATATCAATTATGCGAGATAATTAGACTTAATCCTTAAGGATCAAAGGTGTGGTTGATCTTGTTGATCGGACGTTTCTTTTATGGAAAAAGAAATTTTTCTAATTATACGAGAATATGAGATCTTGTGGAATTGTTACTCATGAATTATTCGTTGGAGGAGTAAGTTTACGAGAATGCGCTATTTATTAATTATTTTGTTTGTTTTTAACGCTTTGTTAACAGATAAATGCGTGTTTTTTTTTGAAAGAGAAAAATTTTGCAATAAAACATTTCTTTCGAATCTTTCTTTTAAACTTTTTATCACCAGAACGTTCGAATTTCGAAGTTAGCAAAGCAAATACATCTTTTTTTTTTTATTACATTTTACATCTGTTTTTAAAATTCAAAATCAAACATGTCTGATTGAAAAAGAAATGATCGAATTTGAACACAGTATCTATGTTAACAAATCATCAAAACGATACAAATTCTAAATATTCGCCAACCTAACCTATTATATACAAATGCAAAGAAATAACTTTAAACTGTCTCTCTCTATGCACTTCCGAAGTTTATTCATGTGTAGAATTCGGTTAATTATATTTATATTCGCGATAACATTCATTTTCGTATAACATTGTCTAAAATGTGTCGTTAAATTCCAGACGCATTGAATTTAATGATGAAACAGGTGATCGTGATCTCACATCGCGTCACAATAACGCCAATCGTTATCAGATTCGTCTGTTTTTCTTATCGATTCAACAAATATTACAAATAATCTTATGTATCGATTGTTACCTGTTACATTAAAAATGATTAATAATCTTTGAACACGACTCATCATTTCAAATTCTGCCTATCCAATAACTTAATTTCTATCTCTAAGTTAACCTATAATCGAACGAAAGTAATATTTTAGCAACCTACAAATGGAGATTTCAATTTCCAGCATTGAAAATCCAAATTTAATTTTTCTAAGTTAAACGCACTAAGACGAGTATAAAATCCAACATTCTAACACTAACCTTCAAATTTTCAGCATTAAAAACGTGATCCAAACTTCTCAATTTCTCTTGGTTAAGTATATTACTTCTAAGATTAGTAAAATCAAAGAAACATTCCAGTACTAACTTTCAAGACGTAATCCAAATTTAATTTTTCTATCTTAAGCACATTATTTGCAAAATAATGTATAAAATCAAATTAACATTCTAACACTAACCTTCAAATTTTCAGCATTGAAAACGTGATCCAAACTTCTCAATTTCTTCAAGTTAAGCACATTATTTCAAACACTAGTATAAAATTAAAGTAACATTCCACCACTAACCTTCAAAACATGATCCAAACTTAATTTCTCTAAGTTAAGCACATTATATTCTAAGATAAGTATAAAATCCAAGCAATATTCTAACAGCACTAACCTTTAAACGAAGATTTCAATTGGGAAGAATGGAAAACGTCTGAATCTAAAGGACACGTCGTGAAACATTTACAGAAGGCAGCACCGTGCAATGTATACTTTTTTTTCCTCGCGAACAGCGTGCGTCATAAAGAAAATGTAGTACTTTCCTTGGCGAGGACGTGACGCAACGCGGTGGCGAGGCCACGAAATTCCGAGTTTATTGTTTCTGCCGGGCAAAAAAGAGCCCCGGCCATATTCACCGTCGGCCGATCGTATGGGATAGGTCATGGCGGTGGTTTATTTGGAAAGACCTCGAAATTTCTTAAACACCTCGTCGAGAGAGGTGCTTGTCGACGACTCAACGCGAAAACGAGGATAGAAATTATTATCGTTTTTATCGTCTTATCTCCGATCCTTCGTCCCAAACTTTTTTTTACATTTGTAACTTGCTCGAATTAGAATATAACCGTAACTCTATCTCGTGTTTGAGAGATTTTTTTTTTTATAAATTCTTCTTTCTAGATTCAATATTTTCAATAGATTCAAAAAAACTCGCCGTTATTCCTTTCCACTATTTACACTATGCACGTTCAAATAACGTTAACGGTCGGTAAAATGTCC